GGGTGGTAAGCTCCTGGGTATTCTTTTTTCTATCTACCTATCCACTCACCTATCTAACTATCTAGCTAGCTAGCTATTTATCAAGACATCTCACTCTGTCACCTGGACTGGAGTGCAATGGTGCAATCCTGGCTCACTGCAGCCTCAAACTCCTAGACTCAAGTGATCCTCCCACCTCAGCCTCCCAAGTAGCTGGGACTACAAGCATGCACCACCCTACGTGGCTAATTTTTAAAATTTTTATAGAGACAAGGTCTCACTATGTTGCTCAAGCTGGTTTTGAAATCCTAGGCTCAAGCAGTCCTCCTCCTTTGGCCTCCCAAAGTGCTGGGATTACAGGCATGAGCCACCGTGCCCAGCCCAATCTTGGGTATCCTTTATACCTCATATATCCTGGACTGGATTCTGGAAAAGCTGACAACCCAGAAACGCCAACAAATAAAGACCAAAAAAAGCCTTCAGAAAATCCTGCTCTCTCTAGCCAGAGACCCAGTAAAGGAGCAGCCTAGCAAGACAAGCAGGCATCCCAATAGCTTTGCTGGGGTAGTGTCAGAGAAGGCTAAGGGAAGAGCAGGTGCCTTGTGGTATCAGTAGAGACTCTCCTCCTCCCAAGTAGGATAATATCAGCAGAGGCCTAGTGAGGAGCCTAAACTCCCACCTCCACCCAGCAACAGCAAGGTGTTCCTCTCCTATTAAAGAGGATGTCGTACTAGGATGTCAACAGAAGCCAAGTAGAGACGCTGAATTTCCACACCCATCTGACAGTAATGAGAGGAGCCTCGCCTCCCCTACTAGCACAGCTTGAAGATTATAGCTAATACAGAAGATTTAAATAATAACTAGAGTCTCATAACATAATGGCCAAAATGACCAAGTTTCAGTCAAAGCCACCCATCATATGAAGAACCAGGAAAATCTCAAATGAGAAAAGACATAGATATCAACAAAAAGTAACAAAAAATGTTAAAATTTTAGATCGGGCAAGGATCTTAAAGCACCATCATTAAACGTGTTTCAACGGGCAATTACAAACATATAAGACACATTTAGCAAAGAAATAGAAAATATGAAGAACCAAATAGAATTTGAAAACTGAAAAAATGTATAACAAAAAATAAAAATGCTCTCAACGAATTGGCTGAACAGCAGAAGGAAGAGGACAGAATAAAAGAAGCCGTGAACTTCAAGAGAAAACTATAGAAATCACCCAAGCTGAACCACAGAGAGAAGAATTTTGAAAATAAACACAGCCTCAGGGACTTATGGGACTGTAACAAAAGAGCTAACATTTGTGTTGTTGAAGTCCCAGGAGGAGAGGGGAAAGAGTGTGGAACTGAAGATGTATTCAAAGAAATAAAGGCTGAAAATTTCCCAAATTTGGCCAAAAATAAATATAAATAAACCTACAGGTTCAAGAAGCTGAGTAAACTCAAACAGAATAAACCCAAAGAAATGTATACAAAAACACATCAAAATCACATTTCTGAAACTAAAAACAAAGAAGAAAAAACTTGAAAACAATGAGAGAAAAATGACACCTTACTTATAAGAGACAAAAAAATATTTAAATAACAGCAGATCTCTTATCACTACCCATCAGAAAGAAGTAACAAAACCTTTTTCAACTGCCAAAATAAAAGGACTATCAACTCAGAATTTTATGTCCAGCAAAAATATCCTCCAGGAATGAAGGCAAAATCAAGACATTCTCCAATGAAGGAAAACTACGAAGTTGTTAGCATCAGATTTACTCTAAAAGAATGGTGAAAGAAAGTACTACCCCAGAAAGGAAATGCTAAAGGAAGGAATCTTGGAATGTCACGAAGAAAGAAAAACAATGAAGGAGTAAAAATATGAGTAAATACAATAAACGCTTCTCTTATAGTTTGTAAATTATGCTTGATGGTTAAAGCAAAAATTATAACACTAGTATGCTTTTCAGTGTATGTAGAGGAAATGTTTAAACAACTATATTTTAAATGGGGGAGGGTAAAGGATTTAAATAATGACAGTGTTGGGTGGTAATAGTTTTGTATCTTGATTGTAGAGGTGGTTACACAAATCTACACATGTGATAAAATGACATAGAGCTACGTATATACATTTTGCCAATGTTAATTTTCAGGTTTTGATATTGTAAGATCTATTTATCTTGGAGGAAGTTGGGTGAAGCAGACAAGGGACCTGTCTATATTATATTTGCAACTTCAAATAATTGCAAATATAGTCACAATTGCAATTATTAATTATTTCAAGATGAAAAGTTGATTTAATAAAGAAGAAATTATAGGAACCCCACTCCCCACTCAAAAATCAAATCCTGATAAGTGAAAGAAAATTGAAACAAATAAATCCAACTGTGTATTGAGTTACTGACACAACCACATAGAGGAATTATTTCAAGTCACCTTAAAGCAGAGTAATTTGACCGCACATGTTTAATGGAATATATCCTAAGGACAAAAAAGAATTGCAAAAAAAGAAAATATCTTAGTAACGTCTCAGTAATCTTGTTAATACTTATATTGTTATTCTGATACTGTGTGTGTGAGTGTGTGTGTATGCAAATAAGTGTGTATGCAAATAAAGCACATAAGTAATTATGTCAATAACATTTCTAGGATTTTTTTGGTGTAGGAGAAAGGAGATACAGAATTAAGATAGCAAAGTAAAAACTGTTTAAAACTGAATTGAATGGAATGTATCAACATAATTTTATAGTGTATTTTCTCTTAAAAAGACAAAGAAAAGCTGGGCACGGTGGCTCACACCTGTATTCCCAGCACTTTGGGAGGCTGAGGCAGATGGATCACCTTAGGTTGGGAGTTGGAGACCAGCCTGACCAACATGGAGAAACCCCATCTCTACTAAAAATACAAAAATTAGCCTGGCATGGTGGTGCATGCCTGTAATCTCAGCTACTCGGGAGGCTGAGGCAGGAGAATCACTTTAACCTGGGAGGCAGAGGTTGCAGTGAGCCAAGATCACGCCATTGCATTCCAGCCTGGTCAGCAAAAGGGAAACTCCGTCTCCAAAATAAATAAATAAATAAAAGAAAAAAAAATCCTATTTCTTAGTTCTAGTCACCAATAAGGCCTAGAAACAATGACCAAGCCAGTAGCAATGACCACCACCAGACTGTGGTCTCTGAGTAACATTTCCTACAGAAAGAAGCCAGAATTTCTTCAAGAAATAGCTGATTTCAGGCCTGGAGAGCCAGAAGTGTACAAGATGAGCCTGATATATTTTATCCTAATAGTAGGGTGGCAAAAAGGCTATCAGAAACTACTGGGGTTGTTTCAAATCACCAGCACTGGCCAGAATCCTGAAGGACCAAAGATGAGGCAAGGTACGCATCCTAAGAGTAATAGCTACACTGGATTAAAATACATCAAATATGTTTACATCTGTGAGTTTCTGGTGGTATTCAAAAAAATAATTACTATTACATTGATCATCTTTGGAGAATGCTAGAGAACCAACTCATTATTTTGAAAACTGGTAAACAGAGGGGAAAAAAGTCATTTATCCTGCCTTTCATATGTGAACTGTATCTCGCAATAACTAAAACTTTAATGAGGGAATGTTTTTCTTTATAGAAGTTGCAGAGCTAACAAATGAAGATATAATGATAGTCCTGGATTGGATATTAACTTTTTGCAACACTTAATGGGATAAAAAATCTAGGCAATTATCATGAAGGGCTAACATCAGTAAAAGGTAACCAGACTGTATGAGCCTCCTGATGAAAGTACACACTACCACTTAGGAGTTGTTCTTGCCCAAAAAAAAAAAAAACCTTGAACCTGAGTAAGTCTCCAGACCTAACTACCAATTCATAGGAATAACACTGTGGGGATGCAACCACCAAATCCTTCTGGGAAACCCCACAGGGTAAGCAACCCAGCATCTTCAACAGGTAACACGCAAGAAGGAAAGAGAGAGTCACAGGCAGAGACAGAGAGAAACCCAGAGATGTTAAAAGACACATCAGTCACTTGCAATGTAGGGCTTCCATTTGGATCCTGATTTAAACTACAGGGGGAAACATGAATGTTGACCAAATATTTGATGATATCAAAGTCTTATTGCTAATTCTTTGAGCTGTGATAGTGATTGTGGGTTGATTTGTTTGTTTAAGTTCTTTACCATTTAGAGATACACAACAAAATATTTACGGATAAAATCATGTGCTTTCGTGGATTTGCTTCCAAATAATCTGAGGTCAGGGAGGAAAGTGAGAAGTGCGTATAAATGAAACACGATTGACCTTGAGTTGATCACTGTTGAAGCAGGGTTACATGGAAATTTGTTTGACTGTTGTCTTCAGTTTCATATAAATGTGAAATTTTTCCAAATAAAACGTTTTAAAAAATAGAGTCAGACAGAGCCAAAAAGTCACATTCCTGTAGCCATCTCCCTAATAAGAAGGTCTTTATTCTGTTCTTTGGGGCCTAGAAGACTAGTGTCCTGTAGTCGTAGTAATAACAGTAATAATAATAATAGCCAGCAATTTGGAAGCTCATACTTAGCATGTGCTAAACTCATGTTATGAGTTTTTATCAAACTTCCCATTTATTTCAGACAAAATCTTATGTGGTAAGTACTATTATTCACATTTTACAGATGAAGAACCTGAGGGACAGAAATTTGATGACAAAGCTAGGCCTCACACTCAGATCTAACAGCAGATTTCCAGCTTGTAACCAACACCCAAAGGTAAAAGATGAAGATTGCTGTCATGTCCTCGGTCTGGCCTTCTTTGGGATAAACACCTTTAGCTCTTTCACTTCCCACCCTACCCCACCCCTGCCACATGGCTTCAATGACTCACACGCATTCCTTGGAACACCTGCCATGAGTATAAAAGTAGCTGAGTTTCTTTAAGGTATCTCAGAGGCCCATGTGCAGCTTGCCCCGCCCCGATCCCACCCAGGCTGCCTGGATTCCCAGACAAGCTCTGGTCTTCCTCCCTCCAGAGCAGGAGTGGCATAGCTCACCTGGGCCTCGGTGCCTCTTCTCCATCCAGATGTAGCAGTTGTTCTGGGCCACCCCAGTCTGTGAGTCCAGGAAGGGAAGGCGCACGCTGCGCTCTGCACACAGCCGGGAGTTGTAACTCCGGCAGTGCTCAATGGCTTCCTTGTAGAACTGGTCCCCGAGCCTGCCAGAGTCAGAGAGTGAAGGAGTGAGGCCAGGGAAAACTGAAACACACCCAGAGGGAAACTGATGTCAAACACCCACCTCCCTGGGAAGACTGAAGATCTCCCAGTTATGAAGACCAAGGCAATGAGCACCAAGAGCCTTGCGAACGAGCAGAATGCAACTCAGTGTCAGGTCTTGACCAGGTTTTATTTTCTATCCCAAATCCGCCAAGCAACTTGGAAACTCCTTTAATAAAGAGCATGGGCTTTCAAGAATGAATCACCAGTAAGAGAGAACGGTCCATGTTCTCAAAGGCATAGGTCCCACTCCAGAGGGGAGGTAGCTCGGGAACAACCTTATGTACAGAATCTAGAGGGCATCGTGCTTCTAGAACCTCCTCACTCCTATTGGCTACGTTTTGTTCTCAGAAGTCACCAGCTAAGGCACTCTAGGTGAACCCAAACCACCAGCAAAGATACCCAGTTTTCCATTACAACGGAAGAGAAACACTCCATATAAACAAAAACTAGAAGGACAGAGGAAACATTCTATAAAAGTAGGGCTATTGCAGGAGGAAGGAGGCATAGAGGAACAGGCACCAATCTTTTAAAACTGTATTACTTAAAGAAAAATAATTTTCTGAGAAAAAACTAACGGAATTCAACAATTTCGAATTCAAAATAATTCAACTCACGGAGTTTAAAACACAAATAGAAAGACCTTTCTGGTTTGCTGGACTGAGAATCTGGTTAAGCACAGTAAATTTTACATTCCTGACTCTGGTTTTTGGACACGTGGTGATGGTACTGATTTTAAGGTAGTGTCCTTTTCAAAGACCAAAAATAGAGCACGATATAATTGATCAAATGCAAAGCACTAAAATAATCAATGAGATCAAATGCCTAACAAATAAAATATAGGCACAGACTAATAAATGCCTCAAGGAAATACACATAACATAACCTATGCCAGGTAAATTCAAGCCTCTTCCTGGGGTCGGGCGGCAGGGGCACAAAGGAGTGCACGGTGGGAAGAATAAGTAGAAAGGGAAGGAACCACAGAGGTCATAGGGCAAAAGGGAGAATCAAGGGTTTATTCTGAAGCAATATTGTGATGTCTTTCTGTTTTCATTCTATGTAGATTTCAAATTGGATTATAACAGCTTAAAATGAGAGGGAAAGTCTCTAAAAATAACATTTCTTAACCCAAGTATTTGGAAGAATTTTTAAAAAGCAAAATTGGGATTTTGTTTCAATGTCTTAATTGTGGTAAAATACACATAACATGAAGTTTCCCATGAAGCACATGCAGACAACAGTGCTTCCAACCACCACTACATCCACTTCCAGAATTCTTTCATTTTGCAAAACTGAAACTCTACCCGTTAGACGACAACTCCCCATTCCTACTCTGCTCCCATCTCTGGCAACTACTATTCTGCTTTCTATTTTTTTTTTTCTTTTCTCTTTTTTTGAGACAGAGTTTTGCTCTTGTTACCCAAACTAAAGTATAATGGCACGATCTTGGCTCACTGCAACCTCCACCTCCCACATTCAAGTGATTCTCCTGCCTCAGCCTCCCAAGTAGCTGAGATTACAGGCAGGTGCCACCATGCTCGGTTAATTTTTTTTGTTGTTGTTGTTTAGTAGAGACAGGGTTTCTCCATGTTGGTCAGGCTGGTCTCGAACTCCCGACCTCAGGTAATCTGCCCATCTTGGCCTCCCAAAGTGCTGGGATTACAGACATGAGCCACTGCACCTGACCACTACTTTCTATCTCTATGATTTTGACTACTCCAAGTACTTTATAAAAGTAGAGTCATATCATAAAAGTGGAGTCATACAGTATTTGTCCTTTTGTGACTGGTTTATATGACTTAGCATAATATCCTCAAGGTTAACCTATGTTATAGCGTATGTCAGAATTTCCTTCTTTTTTAAGTCAGAATAATATTCTGTTGTATGCACATACCACATTTTGCTTATCCACTCATCTGTCAATGGACATCTGGGTTGCTTCCACATTTTAGCTATTATGAATAACACTGCTATGAACATAAGTATATAAATATCTTTTCAAAACTCTGCTTTCAGGCTGGGCAAAGTGGCTCACACCTGTAATCCCAGCACTTTGGGAAGCTGAGGCAGGTGGATCACCTGAGATCAGGAGTTCAAGACCAGCCTGGCTATAAAAATTAGACAGGCATGGTGGCGGATGGCTGTAATCTCAGCTACTCAAGAGGCTGAGGCAGGAGAATTCCTTAAACTTGAGAAGTGGAGGTTGCAGTGAGCCAGGATTCTGCTACTGCACTCCAGCCTGGGCATCAGAGCAAGATTCTGTCAAAAAACAAACAAACAAACAAAAACCTACCTTCAATTCTTTTAGGTATATACCCAGAGGTAGAACTGCTTGGTCACATGGTAGTTCTATTTCTCATTTTTTGAGGAACCACCACACTGTTTTTCACGGCAGCTGTACCATTTTACATTTCTACCAGTGGTGTACAAGCGTTCCATCTACTCCACATTCTCATCACCACTTGTTAGAAAGCAAAGTTTTAAATGCACTATTCTATACTCTTTTTAAAAAGTCAGTGGGTCAGGTCCTATCAAAGAGCTTAAAGCAAATATCTCACTATGGGAAAACACAATCCTGGAAGCTTCTGAGGCATCATTTGGAAATCACTTGTTGACAAGCATTCAAAAAAAAACAACAACAACAAACAAAACAAAACAAAAACCCCTTTGCTCCTTTTTTACCTCTGAACACCTTCACATTCACATGAAGGCATAATATGCTCAGAGAGTGTCCTGGCAGTTGCAAAACCAAACTGTAATCAAATTGTAATAGTCATGCAGCTGGAAATGAATTGGGGAGGGGAGATGAAAGCCCATTAAAATGCTACGAAACTGAATGGCACATAAGCTGATATAATCCAAGCTGGTAACAAGGATCATGAGATTGATCAAAAATAAAGAACCACTTTTTACAAAGTGTTTGTGTCACACCAGCTTAAACACTTCCTTCTGCGATGGCGATGTAGCTCAGTGGAACAGAACCTTCACAGGCAGCTTGGCCCAGATAAGATGACACAGGCTGCTCAGGGTGTCTTGGATGCTCCAGCCCCCACCCACAAAAGAGCAAGCAGCCACGCCACATCAATGAGAACTGATGAGAACATGTGATGGAGGGGTGTCCAACGTGAGAGCAGCAATCTTCTTTCCCAGGACCTTTTGACAGACTGCCAAAATAAAGATGCTAATTATCCCAACCCCAAAAATTCTGCTGAAAAGTGAACCCTTAAAATCAGGCCCCCCAAAAAATGAAAACTAAAAATTTTATTCCAAAACTCATCTACTGGAGATGAATATTTTCAAAATAAACTTCTAGAAAGCAATACAAAAGAAATCTACACAGTAGAATTCCAAAGTGGACTTGTCCTAATATGCTAGTAACTCACTTCCAGCAGCGTCAATCCAGACGAGAGAACAAGACAGTGGCCTTGCTAAAAATGCAAAGTGAGGTTGGCCAACATTGGTGCCCCATACCAACTGGATCGAGAAAGTCAAACAGAGTGGCACGCTGGGCGAAAATTAATTTCATCTTAAATACTTTCCACTTTAAGAACATGCAATGTTATTAGTAACAAGCATGCTGGGGGGGAAATGTATATTTTTAAATGTAATCTTTGTGTGAATGATACCTCTCTTATGTAAACAGAGAACACTTTCCGTGGACTGGAACAACTGTATTAAGATCGAAGCTGCAAAAACATGACATTCAACAGTCCCTCTACCACCATCTCCAGGGAAGTCCTTTTAAACAGACCAAGTGTTGGCAGAGATTCGGAACCAAAATTTGAAGCCTTTTTCAAGACATAAGAGGAGAAAAGAAGACTTCAACCTCCCCGATAAATTCAAGAAGCACTTCTCCAAAAGTTAATTAGCCAAAATCTTCACAGCGCTTGCTATGCTCTCTAGAAGAAAATCGATGGCTAGTTCTCCCTAACCTGTAGAAAGCATTTTAAACAGCAGAGAGGACAAATGTCCTTTCCAGCATGGTATTTCTACCAAAAAAAAAAAATCCCACAATGATAGGATCCCAGGAATAATATTTATATTAAACTTGAAGGGGTCAGAGGGAGCAAGGACATGCTGGCAGTGAATGCTTCATCCGTGAAGTGATGACCAATGTCCCCTGAGTTGGATCACACATGGACAGCCCCAGCCATCACCTGCATAAACCAAACCAAGGGGGCTGGATCCCCAAGGGATGATTGATGTCTTAGGCTGGAGGAAGATGGTACAAGGCAGGGTAGAATGATGTTCTCATCAACAACTGACTTCAGGCTACTCAAGGCTGCAATCGGAAATAGGAAAGGCAAGGGGAACAAATTGCTGGGCTCCCCAGACCCCCCAGACAGCATCCTGGTTGCAGCAGTGCTGGCTGCCTAGTTCTAGGGGCTTTGTAAGAGATGGAGGTCCCTGTGTGATCCTATCATCTGAAATGAGGAGCCGCCCCTGCTCTGAGAGCTGAGCATTCCTATGTGAGATTTCCAGAAACCCTCTTTGAGTATATCTGTGGAGAGATGGATTCCAGGGGGCCAAAAAAGACTCAGAATGGGAAACATGAGCTGCCAACCAGGCTCCAGATGTGATTTTTCAGAGCCATCAATCACAGCCCTCTAAGACCTCTGCTCCTCTTCCTCCAACCTCCTGCTCTCAAGACCATACCTGCTCACTCCAGTTTCTCAGATCACTGTCAGGTCCAGCATTTCACTATCTCTATGGTTTTGTGTTCTGACCCGAGGACAGGTGTCCTGTCACACCAGAAATACGTGTCTCATAGCAAGTTTCTTATCTTCTGCCAGAAGCCTGCTCACGTCCACCCGTCTCAATCCTCCCAGGGGTGGGGGTGGGGGCCGAGGCTATGCCGTTCTCCCTCTCCCTAACAAGTTGGCCTTGACCCTTCCCTTGCCTTCATCCCATCTGGAACTGAGTTCTTTCATTTCTCAGGAAG